CGTCAGAGACGATCAGGAGGGAATGGAGCTGGAAGTAGGGATGTAAATCTGCTTGGTTTTGTTGACATATGATGTTATGGTAGTGGCGTGACCTTCAGTGTTATTTATGTTAATAATGTGAAGTATTGGTATAGTTTTTGTTGTACTGAAAAGCTGTAGAGAATATGTTTTCGTAAGGTGCTAGGTTTTAAGGTTAAGTCTTCTCGTTTAATAAAGCGTGAAAGTTCAGTAGGTGGAGGAACTAGGGTAGAAAGATCCCCCACCCTCAAGCGTTAGAAGTTCGAACAGACGTGACACCAAACCGGCAAACCAAAATATGCATTTTTATATGGTGAGGGTTAGGAGAAACATGAATTAGGTATAGGCCTTTTTTGTGCATAGAGAATCATATCAGTGGTTAAGAGGGTAGAGCATGTTAGTGATAGTATCGAACCCGGGCCGCCGCAGTTGGAAGCCAGCGACTAACCATTTGAGCTATGGCGCGGCCCTAGATTAGTATGTAAGTGTAGACTTAGTGTTTTATGGCGTCTTTTATATATTTTTGTAAATGGAACTTTTTATGAACATAATTGATAATAATGAGTAGTTGCACAGGAATATTGGGGCACACAAGAACATATACATATAAGTATTTTTACTTTTCTGTTGTTCATTCTAGAGGCCTGCAGTAGTGTAGTTGATTGAGGCACTATGTTATAAGCTGGAAGTTGCACAGGAATATTGGGGCACACAAGAACATATACATATAAGTATTTTTACTTTTCTGTTGTTCATTCTAGAGGCCTGCAGTAGTGTAGTTGATTGAGGCACTATGTTATAAGCTGGAAGTTGCACAGGAATATTGGGGCACACAAGAACATATACATATAAGTATTTTTACTTTTCTGTTGTTCATTCTAGAGGCCTGCAGCAGTGTAGTTGATTGAGGCACTATGTTATAAGCTGGAAGGTCGCGGGTTCGGTTTCTGATGAGTTAATTGGATTTTTCAGTTGACCCAATCCTTCCAACCGCACTATGGCCCAGGGTCTACTCAGCCTCTAACAGAATTGAGTAGCATGAATCCTCATGGGAGGTAAACGGAGGCTGGCACGTAAGGCTAACAACCTCACCGCCATCTATGAGCCTATTGTCTAGAAAATGTGGGAGCATTGACGTCTCACAACCCTATGGGCCACCACTGCCTGTTATACCTTTACTTTTACTGTTCATTTTTGTATGCAATGAAAAACTGAGTGGTAATCATGTATTTGCCCATTTTTACAATGCTGTGTCTGTTTTCTTGATAGAATGGCAGACTACAGTATTTTGACTTTGTTGTGAAATTTCTTCCTTCCATTGTAGGTTCAGTTATGCTACTTATAAGCCCAGAGTTAACTTGTAATATTCATGTTGTGGAAGTTAATCAGAATTGTTGATCAGCTCCATTGTGGACTCCAACCAACATCAATCCATTATATTATCTGGGCAATAAATACACGTCTACTTTTAAATCTATCAAATGGCATTATGTCTCAACTGCTGAGATCAGAAAGATAATCAAATCTTTGAAGACCAAGTCTTCACATGGTTATGATGAAATTTCCACTAGAATTTTAAAAGCAAGTATGCCATATATAACTTCGCCACTAACTTACATTTATAACCAATCCCTTGCCCAGGGAACGTTTTGAGACAGAATGAAATTTGCTGTGGTTAAGCCAGTTTTCAAAAGCGGTAATAAATATGAACCAGCCAACTATAGGCCTATTTAATTATTGTCAGCCTTTTCTAAGGTTTTTGAAAGGGTTATATATAATAAATTGTATGAACATATAGACAGTAATCATATATTGGACAATAATCAGTATGGTTTTAGACCTAATTCATNGGCCCAGCAGTATAACACACGCAGTCACAGGAGCAAGACACAACACAAAGCACAATACACACACGAAAGTAGGAAGAATACTCCGATAGAAGAAGATAGGTGTGACTCCGTATTGAGATACGACATAAGGATGACAAATCCTGAACAGTTTTAATATTTTTAATATTTAAAATTTATCAATATATATGATGAATATATATTTTACTATAAAGACAACAGGGCATGCAGTTAAGTAGTTTGACATACATCGAAAAGCACCTGAAGATGGCACTTTTGTGCTGAAACATGTAGCGCAAGAGAGAAGAGTAAGGTGAATGAATGTATGCACTGTGGGACGGATAGAATAAATAATAGAGGAAATACTAAAAGCAATGAATAATAGACAGTTTGTTGGAGGAATATTTTGCACTTACACAAAGCCTTTGATTGTGTCAATCATGATATACTTATCAAAAAATTAGAGTTTTATGGAATAACTGGCAACTTTGGTGCCTTAATTAAATCTTACCTGAATGGAAGAAATCAGAGGGAAACCCTTGGCCCTGACAGTTCTATTAATAGCTCATCTAGTTGGGCAGAAGTAAAATTTGGTGTACCCGAAGGTTCAATTCTTGGCCCACTTATTTTCCTCTTGTATATAAATTATATAACTAAGGTTTCAATTGAGGAACAAACATATTCTTATATGCAGACGATACAAGTATAATAGTGACTAATCCGGAGTACGCTGACTACACATCAACCATGACCAGAATATTTTGCAATATTAATACATGGTTCAGAACCAATCTGTTAAAATTTATTTATTTATTTCATATCATATCCATGGATCATTGTACATGATATAGGACAAGTCAATACTTTACAATACAATAAGTAATAATAATAATAATACAATATATAACACAATGATTTAATAGTATACAAAGATAATAAAATTATGATTCGAATGATATATATCCTGGGTGGTTATGGTTATGGAGAGTTTGATGGAATGAAGATTGGCAGGGGAAACCGAAGTACTCGGAGAAAACCTGCCCCAGTGCCACTTTGTCCATCACAAATCCCACTGGACCAGACCGCCTCGGTGGGAAGCCAGCGACTAACCGCTTAAGCTGTGGCACGGCCTTAGAGATAATATTGTCTGGTATGTTGCTTCACTGTAGTTTATGGTCCTGGTCTCTGTAGTGCTGGTGAAGCTTCTTGAAGTCTGCATATCTCCAGAGTAGCCTGTTCCGGTAAATCTCCACTGTGTTAGCTTGGTTGCTGGAAAAGGGAAAAGAAAACTGCGCAGTAGCGATTCCAAAACCAATTATTCTCCAAAACCAATTATTCATTACTTACTTCATTACTTATGTGCTTATAATTGATTAGAGCTAGTGCTTGCCCCACACAAGAGAAACTCATCCACTTTGTAGAAGCAATGATTAAGTAGGTAAGTTTTCAAAGCACTTCTGAACTTGAATAGTACTGGTATCTCTTTAATATGTAGTGGTAAATGATTTAGCAGTCGAATTCCTACGTTGTTAAAGTTGTTCTTGTATAGACTTGTATTACATGGGACGATGTGTAAGTCGTCTTTTTTCCTTGTATTGTATGAGTGTAATCCTGAGTTGGTTGCGAAATCATTTAAATTGGATTTTATGTATATTAAAATTTCGTATATATACAAAGATGGTAAAGGTAATATATGTAATGATTTGAAAATTTGTTTACAACTAGTTGTTTTTGGGACCTGGGTCATAGCTCTTATAGCTCTCTTTTGTAATTTAAATATCAATTTTGCTTTTACTGAGTTACCCCAAAATATCAGTCCATATGATAGCAAAGATTGGAAATAAGCAAAATATAACGTGCGGACAGTCTCTAATCCAGTCACTCTTCTGACTACTCTTAGGCCAAAACATATTTTACATAAATTGTTTGCTAACTTTTGCGTATGTATAGTCCATCTCAGATGCTTATCTAGCCAGACTCCCAGAAATTTTGAGTGATCTGTGTAATTGATGACAGTGTCATAAATCTTTATTGAAGGGCATTCGAGTTGTAGTTTTTGAGGATGATGAAAGGCTATTGCTATTGTTTTTTCTTTGTTAATAGTTAATTGATTCCACTCAAACCACTCTGTGAGTTTGTTTATTGTTTCATTTGTTTTCCTTTGAATTTCGTTGGCGCTATTTCCTGTTATAAAAATGCTAGTATCATCAGCAAAGAACGTTGGTTTCCCATGCTCTATGACAGCCTCTAGGTCATTTATGTATAATAGAAACAACACTGGTCCCAGAACAGAACCTTGTGGGACGCCATGGCTAATGGGTCTCTTTCGGGATAGGTAATTACTGATTCGATTAGTTTGTTTACATCTGTATGTAATTTCTACTTCTTGCTCCCTGTTTTTTAAATATGTTTGGAACCACCTTAGTGTAACCCCTCGTATTCCCATTCTTGCCATTTTTCTTAGTAATATGTCATGGTCTACTAGGTCAAACGCTTTTGATAAATCTAAAAATAACCCTATACTTGCTTCTTTTTCATCTAGTGCTTTGTAGACCATCTTTGTAAATTCCGTGATTGCTGTATGTGTTGATTTCCCTTTACAGAATCCGTGTTGTTTGTTGTTAATTATGCTATACTTATTTATGAATGATAGAAGTCTCCTGTGCATAATTTTTTCAATTATTTTAGAAAAAACAGAAATTAATGATACTGGCCTGTAGTTATCAACAGTAGCAGTACAACCTTTTTTATACAAAGGTTTCACTTTTGCTATTTTTAGTTGGTCAGGGAAGTAACCAGATGAAAATGACAGATTTATTATGTATGTTAGAGCATTTGCTAGTTGAGAATGACATTTTTTAATAATGAACTCTGGAATATCGTCTATGCCCGTTGACTTTTTATTACCCAGTGTTTTAATTATGTCTACCACCTCCTTTTCAGTGGTTGGGATTAAGAACATGCTATTGCTGTTGTATTTTATTGTATTTATCCTGTCTACATTATTTTGTGCTATCGGATTGTTACTCCGGATATGCTGGGCAATGTTAGTGTAGTAATCATTAAAAACATTGGCTATTTCTTTGGGATCCTGTATAGCTGTTCCAGTCACTTCTATTTCAATGTTCTTTGGAACTTTTTGCTGATTGCCTAATTCTTCTTTGATTAAATCCCACATGGCTTTTGATTTATTCCCAGATGATCGTATTCGCATGTTGTTGTGTAACTTTTTAGCCTCGCTGATAACTTTGTTGTATATTTTTTTGTACTGGCTATAGTATTTTTTAAGTTCTTCAGATGTGTTTCCTTCCTTCATTAGGCTATGAAGAGTCCTAAGTCTATTTCCTGATACCCGTATGCCTAAGGTAATCCATTTATTTTCTTGCTGCTTAATTTTTACCCATTTTTTAGGCATAGCTATATTGTGACAGTACTGAAAGATGCCTAAAAATTCATTGTATGCAACATTCGCCTCATTTTGCTTAAAAACAAGCTCCCAAGTCTCTTTTCCTAGTAAATAATTTAGATATTGTACGTTTTCCTCACTGTAAAGTCTAGCTAATTTGAACTCCTTAGTTATTCTACCTTGTCCTTTTTTATTCTTATAGTGCATATATACTTGTAGTATTTGGGCATTATGATCAGAGAGCCCTGTTTCTGCCACTTTATAGTTGTATTCCCATAAGCCCCTGTTTAGTATTATTTGGTCTATGGCTGTTTGGCTTGTAGGTCCTATTCTTGTTGGGACATCAACTATTGCTTGTAAGCCATATGAGTCCAGCATTGTCTGCAATTGTGGATTTACACTTTTTTTTATAAAATCTACATTGAGATCTCCTACAATAATAATATTCTTCCCTTTGTTGGTTAGACTGTTAAGTATTTTGTCCAGATTTTTTATAAATATGTTGATGTTACTGTTAGGAGTTCTATATATACAGATTATGATAGTATTAAATTGTATAAGTTCAATTATGCTGGCCTCAAAGTGCTCTTCTTGATTTAAGCTTTCAAATAGGTTACAAGGTTTTGCATCTAGGTTTGTTTTGACATAAATGCATGAACCTCCATGCAATTTATTTTTCCTACAAAATTTTGAAATCAAGGAGTAGTTTTCAAAGTTATAATAACCTATTTCTCTTTCATCTAACCAATGTTCAGTGATACAAAGTATATCTGATTCTAGCATTTTGTTTGTTAATAGCACTTCTATATTTAGTTTCTTGTTTCTTAGACTTTGAACATTTTGATGTATTATTTGTATGTTTGCACTCATTTTGTTAGTATTCTTGAGAGTACCAGTACTATTCTTATTATTATGCTTATAATATGCTTATAATATAATAATATGCTTATTATTATGCTTATGCTATTATGCTTAAATATTCATAAAACCCACACTCACCACTTCACTTTAATGAACTATGAGGATCATAATATGCATAATAATATTGATCAAAATTTACCGACTAACTTAGAGTGTATCAAATTTTTAGGCCTAAATATTGATAATAGGCTGTGTTGGAAGAATCATATTGATTACCTTGTTACTAAATTGAATTATTCTTGCTTTATTATGAGAACAGTTAAGCCTATGATATCATTAAGTAGCTTAAGAATGATTTATCTTGCTTATATACATTCTGTGATGACATATGAAATTATCTTTGGGGGCAATTCTTCATACATGACAAAACTTTTTATGATCCAAAAGAAAGTTATAAGGATTATGATGGGATTAAAGAAAAGAGATTCATGTAGAGACTCTTTCAAGGAAATGAAAATTCTGCCTTTGTATTCTCAGTACATATATTCCTTAATGCAACACACTATAAATAACATACATTTGTTTACAAGAAATATGGAGGTTCATAATATTGGTACCAGACAGAATGTTAACCTATTTCCACCGAGTACTTCTCTTACTAAAGTTCAAAAGGGTGCATATTATTCAGGTTTAAAAATCTACAATCATCTGCCTAAAGAGCTGAAACAATTATCTAATAACCAGAAATCCTTTGAATGTTCCCTAAAAAGATTTTTACATGCTAACTCTTTTTATGCATCAAATGAGTATTTTAATTACAAATGTACATAAATTTGAACGTTTTAACGCTGTATTTTAATATAGTTGGTATGGGAGATGTGAGGGGTTGTATTGTGGTTACTTGTGACTTATGTCTGTTAATCAGGATATTATCTTTTTGTCTCGTATTGTTGTATGTGTTAGATAGTTAAAGTCGGTGATCTTTGTTGTGTGGCTTGTGTGACTTTGTGTATGTGTTTGGTGACTATTTCCACATCCTGGGTCTGTTTCCTGTATGGATGTTTATGGAAAGTGGAGGATGTGTATGTATGTATATGACAAGTCCTGTATCAATGTATTTTGATATATGGGAAAATGAAATAAAGAAAGCATTTAATTCAGTTAATTTGGGTAATTTGAGTGAAATTGTATTAATTTTAAGTTTTTATAGTAATGCTCTTTTTAAATTATGTTTAGTAATTATAATTGTAATAAGTTTTTTTTTATTCTATTGTCTATGTTAGTTGACTAGTGTGTGTGATTGTGGTTGTCTGACTTATGTAATTTATTATATGTATATGTCTATTATCAAAGGGACTATTTCTACATCCTGGGTTTTTTGCCTGTATGGATATATGGAAAATAAAGGAAAGGAATGAATCTTAACAGTGGATAACTACATGTATTCAGGTTAGCTACAATTTATGTTATGTTGTTACAGGTAATTTTCGGGAACATGATTCATGCAAGTAACATAGGCCAAATATGTTCTGTCATCACGCTGTGAATTGCAAGATGTGATTCAACAGTATACATGTCGCTCCTTAGGAGACGAATATCTGGATGATGTTACAGCAGATCTTTTAAGCCTAACTCTGTGTGACTAAAATTCTGGCAGTATAAATATTGATATGAAAAATCCAAGTCTTCAGAACAGTCCAAAATCAAACTTTGATAGTAGTTCTGTGCCTACAGGGAAGGATACTCAATCAGATTCTCTTCTAGTCATTTTTAATTCCCATTCAGAGGAGAATTCAGTCTTTTCAAGTATTGAAACACTGACACACTGCAGTGATGTAGGACTTAGCAAAATGTGTGATATTTCTAGTCAGAAAGTTACGAGAGATTCTGAAACATTATATAACAGAATTGAAGAATTAAATTTGACCTCACTGGAAGAAACAACTTTGCAACACAGTACTAATACACGAAACATTCATGGATTTACACAGCCACATACTAATCAAGACAAAAATAAATCCTTTGCCAAATGTAAACACTCATTGTCATTGCATGATGTTTCAGCACTTCCAGACTTCCCACTGAAATGCAAATCCCGTAATTTTTCTTCAGATACAATTCAGACCCAGTCTGTCATAACCATATCATCAGGTCTGAAATCAAAAGACTCAGGCTTGCCTAGATCAGTGAGCTGTTTGAGCTTGAGCAGTGATAGAAAGAGCTATGAACATATCCAAAGTAAAGTCAAGGAATACATTAGACAAATCAAGGAAGCAGATGAAAGGAATAAATCTCTCAAGTTAGGTGACGTTTCTGACAAAAGTATACATGCAGATGATGTGAATTATGTCAGTGAAAAAGCGTCTGTAGCATCAGAGGAAACATTGACAGCAGTAATAAAAGACCTTCACTATGAACTCCAAGACAAGGAAATACTTCTTTCAAAATTGCAAGATAATTATGATAAATTGTTAATTAAATATGCAGAAGCTGAAAACAGAATTGATCAATTGAGATTCAAGGTAATTGATCCTTCATTAGAATTTGCTGGCCGAAGGGAAGAACAGTATCATCCAGAGAGTTCAGTATTGAACCGTGCAAAGAAGTATACTTTTTCATATAATGGAGAATCAGATATGAAGGTAGATGCTAAATCACTGGCCTCAGACATAAAAGATTCACATTTGAGCAAAATCAGTGCTTATAATGACAAAATAATATCAAATGAAAATCAGTGCTCATCAGCAGCTCTCTTCAGTGAACGGGTTACAAGGCAGAATGTACCTCTGAATCCTCTTGTTAAACTTTATAGCAGCTCAGTAAGATTAGGTAAAAGAGTGAAGCCTCTTCCACGAAACTCTCAAGCAAAAACTTCTGAAGAATCGTTTAAATCAAAATTGTCTGTCTTAAGTAGGATGTCAAAAGGAAGAGACCACTGTAGGTTGCGGTGCAAGGGCCGAGGAGGCCTACCCCTCATACATTCAAGATCAAAGTCAGAAGGGATGCATGGAAGTTCAGTGACACAGTCATGTGAGCAGTTAGGCAATGCAATGTGTTCCTACCAGAAGAATGTGTGTTGTCAGTGTATGGGAAATGATGGTACAGCCCAAGGAGCTAAATGTGATCCTGATGAACTGTGTGAAGATGTGGGTGAATTTGGCCTTTCACAATCCAGACAACATAGAGAAATTCCAATGGAATCTGAAATAGAGATTTCTAGTTATTGTAAAGAGCCATTGCTGTGTAAAAGGTCATTGGAACAAAGTGGCTCAGACTACCTACAAAATACTTCTTTTGAAAAGGTAAGGGTATTATTTTTCTGTGACCTTTATTAGTCTGTATTGCATAAGGTCCAGCTGACTCACTGTTGCATTCATTTGGTACTAATATTATTGCTCCACCCCCATTTAAGGTGTGACTGCCAGTCCCTTAGTGCCAGGAGGTTTAACCCTTTGCATGCCACATACCAAGTAGATCAGTTTGGGATGCATGAGTAAGGAGAACTCGATATTGATCCAGGTTAACAGATTTGGAATATGGTCAAATACTCATACTGATGGGGTTCTGTGCACTGATGCATTGCCTCAGATTGGGTGCCAAATAGAGTTTTTGGTTCATAGGAACATTCTCAGTGAATATGTTACTGCAGAAGGAGAGAGATTAATAGAATTCCCGGATTTCTAAAAAAACAGCTGCCTTGTATAGTACTACATTATGCTGTACCAGTATATGTATGGTATGTTTAAACTTGAAAATTTATTTGTAGGTTTCAAGATGGCAAGAATCCTTACCACCAGTTGAATTAATTGAGCCGAACTGTTATGAAAGCTTTGATTGCCATAGCAATGGAAGTAAAACAGCCAGTCACAATTTCATAAAGAAATTTGTCTCTCCTGGTGGTCGGGACAGTGGTTGTCCGCATTCTGAATTGTGCAGTTCTTCAGTTCAGCCAAATCCAGTCAATTTTTCTGCATCACAAGCAACAAAATGTCAGACTGTTCTTGAAGCCAAAGACATGTCTTTGCAAACTGAACGAGAAAGAGTTGCTCAGCATACAGACCACAGTGTTGCATTCCAGTCATTACCCTATAATATAACTATTTCAGATGATGGAAGAATGTTAGATAATTGTGATGATTTGCATTTGCTGGTCAGTGTTTCAGACAGTATGAATCAAAATGAATGTTCACGAAACACAGTGGTACCAAAATTTCTTAATATTGATTCATGTGAATGCTGGGATCTAGAAGTGAAGCCGTCAGGTGACATTACAAACTCCAGTGCTTCACTACCTCCATGTGATCAGAAACGAAAGAATATATTTCCAGATTTCCATGTACCACCATTAAAACTTGGTAGTTTGGTAGATGGTGATGACAGTGATGCAAATAGTGTTCATAGTACAAACAGTAGTGGCATGACTCTTGTTTCAGAAAGTAAAGAAACATCAAAAGCTGACATACATTATTCTAGCTATGAAGAAAGTTTGAATTGCAGTTGTCAGGGAACAAGCGAAGGCATTACATATCCACCCAGCACGTACATGACTTCTGATTCTCAAGCATTTAAAACGCTGAACAAAGGGAAGGTTTCCAATAGTAAAATATGTGTGTCTTTATCCAGTGCATCTGATACAGATTTTCAGGAAGGGAATTGTAACCTTGGGAAAGAGGCAGAAAGAAAGCAACATAATAATGTACATCCTGTAAAGAATTGTGTTTCTGAAAGAAGAATGAATGATACCACAGTTCAGAATGATTCCTTGGAAGGTTCAATTGCGACTTCTACAACATACAGAAGTATACAACCATACAAAACAGTCGGAGAAATAAAACATGCCTCATCACAACAGTACTGTGGAAGTAACCCTACCCGTCTTGATCAAACAGTTGACCACAATATTTTGAATTACATTCCTGTTCACATGGAAGGGCATGAGTCCTCGGCTAATCATGCTCTTGGAGTAATGGAGTCAGACATGTCAAGAAGAAAATTATTGGGCTCTGCTTTAAGATACCTTTTGTTAGCATTCTTCAGTACTGAAAAGTGTCTTGATAATGGCTGCATATGTCACAGATCATCATCAAAGCCAGTGACACCAAGAAATCACGTTCGTCATGTAGGTACTCATGTAAATTTGACTTCAACATTGAGTGACCCTGTTTGTGGAGCAAAGAGAATTCTTGCCAGTGATGGAGTTGTAAACAGTGTTATGGAAGCTGCAAGCAGCAAGGGTTCAGATTCCATCAGGTATATATAACAAATGTGCATTTATTCTCCACAATGGACATTGGTGTCTGTTGCAACGTTTGTCACAGGTGTCCGCTCTTACACTCCCCTGTATGGTAGCAGTCCCCTGCCCCACATTCAACAGCTGGGCATATCTCTTATATTTGTGTCCACGATGGCCCATTGATTTCTGGGATCTGTTTCATATTTCAGCAAATATGGCTGAGTATTAGAAGAAAGCCTATTACATAATTATTGGTAGTACAGACTTGATCTGAATACCAACACAGTGTGAATATTGAGTGAAGGCTTTAATAATTTAGTCTTCCTCCTTTGTTGAAATGTATATTTACCATTTTGCAGTTAAGTTACGAGAAAATTATTTCAGTCAGGCCCATTTATTCCACGTTACATGATATGAATACAGGTAATCACAAGTAAGTTTTAAGACCGATACCGCTGTGAGGTTTTCACGGTGGTGACTGAAGGGATGTGGCGCCATGTAGATCTTGTGTGAACCGACATTCCTCCAAAACGTTGGTTCACACAAGAACTACACAGTGCCACATCGTAGAAGACGCCATTCTTCACCACTGTATTTTATCTCAGAAAACAAGTGTTACTTTACTCATATTTCAAAACTACGTCTGTACTATTAATGAACCGTGTTGTTGTAGACCAAACTATAGTGCAGGTGGTCAACAAAGTCTTTACAACAAACGTTTACTTTGTGAACGTTATTTTTTTTCCCAGTATTCGTTCCATCTTTTCATAACAGAACGTGGCATATGTTTCAAATGCAGACAAGTCTCATTTGTATATATGAGAAGTTCTGGTAAGAAATGATAAATCTCAGTTCTTAATGAACAGACTTCCAGCCCCATAAATCGTGTGCTATTAATGTTTTTGTTATGGCAGGTGACATTTGAATTTTGTACTCTTGGGGAATTGGCTAGTTATATGTTACATTTATATAAAAATTTATGTAATATGAATATATATTGTTTTGCCAGTTTTTTCATTCTGAACAATGCTTTCACATTCTTTATATGTTCCTTCACAGTGGCAGGATGAATGATGCGAGTTCTGTGGTAGTTTCTGAGGACCAGTCTGTGGAAAAGGTAGGTTACTCAGTTAACATAAGATATTTATTGAAACCTTGCATTGAAGTGATTATCAGATTATGCTACGACTTGTCATTGCAGGCGGAATGTAATCTGTTGAAATGTCTTCATGAAATGGACCTCTGTGCTCAGCAGCTGAAGGCAAGATCAGAAACAATATTAAATATTTTGGCTGTGCAACTAAAACCTGGTTCCTGAATAATTGTGCAAGTTGAGGCATTTGTGGACGGTAGTACGTGTTTTATTTATATTTGTTTAGATTTGTTATTAAAACATATGGAATATAATTTCTTAAGTGTACATAAAGATATGCAAAATAAAGTGTTTCTTAAAATTTTAGGGGATATATTTGCATATGCTGATTGAAATGCTCCAAAATCAGATATTAGAAAAATAAGTTATTTTTGTGTTTTTCCTCCCCCCCCTCTTAAGTTAGTCAGATATTTAAGCCAGAAGGGTTACTGAAGGATAGCCATTGTATTTAAGCCCTGTGATTTCTGGAAACTGTTCTATTGGGGCTAGCTGAAGATGTTCCTCCAGCTGTGAGGTAGATGTGGCTTCAGCATGATGGAGCTCCAGTGCAGTATGGGGAAGATATGCAGCAGTGGTTGAACATGGCATACCCAGGAAGGTGGATTGCATGTAGAGGGCTAATTGCATGGCTTCTTTGGTCACTGGGTCTGAGCATTTTTCTGTGGAGGTACCTAGAGGAGTATGTTTATGTAAGGACTATTGAAGATCTCTTGACATGCTTTCAAGTAGTCATAACAGTGGTTGATGCCAACATGTTAAGGCATGTTCAACAGAATGATGTGTGGTGCACTGTCATCTGCCATGAAATGAACCAGGACCATATGGAACACCTAGTGTAACTCATGGTTTGACAGTTATGTGTATTTTGAAAACCAAATCTCACAGGACATATGTGTAATACTTGATGACATTTATTAAACATGGAGCTTGTATATAAATTTAAATGACAATCATATGTAACGAATATTAATTTAAAGGTTGATAATTATGAAACATGAGTACCTGCAGTCACAAAATTCTCACAACCTGAATGTTTCGAAGTTGGTCAAAAAGGTGTTAAAATGAGAGTTCATATCAAATTAAACTTCAATGTATTGAAATGAGATAGATTTTAGGAATAAAACACTGGTAGGCTAGGGAGTAAATTGCTGGATACCCATCTCTTAAATTTGAGACTGGTTCCACTTAGTGGGAATTTTTTTCCCCACTGTAACATAGATAAAAGTCAGTTTGTTCTGAATACACGTATGAGGAATACCAGCCTCAATAACTTTGTGAACCTTTGTCATGTGAATTACCATTTGGCCTCATAGTGAGAATTCACATATCCCTTTTCACTAGCATTTTAATTTTTATCCCATGTTATCCTTTACTATAAACATGATGGGATGCAAATGTGTCTTTAAAAATGTTTATTCAATCCACATAAAAGTTTGTACAAAAAATAAATTTATTGGGTTTCTCAACCCATATGGGACAATATGTGAAATATAACTTTTGAGTAATAAGGCTTCATATATCCTCGGGGTTTAAATGAACAGCCAGTGCAGCACCACTAACACAACAGTCAAGAGTACACGTTAATTCATAATTCATTCTCATTGAGAAAAACTTCCCACTGTTAAAAGAAAAATCAGTGAAAGTCATGAAACAATTATAAAACTATGAAGAAAGTCGTCTTCTGGGTTTAGGCGCTGTGTATTCTTCGTTTTGGCCGACGTTTCGGAGGAACGTATTGCCTCCATCTTCAGAGCAGGTGAATGGCTTTGAATGCAGAGAGCAGTAGCTCTCTACTACAACTACAGCTACTGCTCTCTGCATTCAAAGCCATTCACCTGCTCTGAAGATGGAGGCGATACGTTCCTCTGAAACGTTGGCCAAAACGAAGAATACACGGCGCCTAAACCCAGAAGACGACTTTCTTCATAGTCATCACCGTGAAACCTCAAAACTTACATAATTAGAAAACTAGTTCCCAACAGGTAATCTTATAATAAATACTGAAAAGACTATAAAGCAATAGTATTTCAGTGAAGAGGATCTAGTTTAACTCATGGACCCATTCTGTATCTAAGAAAGAAATAAATAACTTACTCATCAAATTTAAAATATTTATGTATTTATATCACAGATAACGTAAGCTGTGCCACTCATATTTTTGCCATAAATTAAGCAAAGCTCTTTATTTTATTAAATCCATATGAGACTCGGTAAGTTTACCAGTTTTAAGAAGTGTGTATTTTATTAAATTTGAATCTGTACTGAAATCTGATCAAGCGAAACAGCAATTTCATGTGCTAAGCATCTTAATGATTTTCGAGGACTGATCTGTAGTCATGCCTCAATATCCCGAACCTTTTCTTTTGTCAGCACAATCATCATAAATTCCTTCTTTATGTCACTGAACATGTGGACCGCCACTTTTTCACACACTTGGATATACACGACTTTGTGGGAACTTGCGAGTCAGGATATTTACGACGAAACTGTGAGTTACATTTTCTGTCAGTTTTTTCCTTGCAAAAGTTTCGAAAAACACACTGTTTAATAGTGAACTTTATTTCAGTATAAATGTCGACCGCCTATCGGCACCTCTATCAGAGACTATTATTGCGACTTAACAGCAGTGACAAGATCAGACCACCAGACGGAGCACATTTATCAGTGCTAATGACCCATTGTGTCCACTCTATGCTGCTGCCAGGATTCCTCTGTCATTGAACGCCCTGTATTATTATGGAGCTCAAATCAAGAAATATGAGTTGGGCAGTGCATGTAGCACTCATGTGAGGGATGAGGAGTGCATATGGAGTTATGGCAGTAAATCCCAATGGGAATAGTCCAGCTGGAAAATCTAGGCGTACGCGGGACGATAATCTTAACATTGGTCTCTGAAGAAATGGAATGTGGATTGGATTTGTCTGGCTTATTACAGGGTTTGGTGTCAGAATCTGAAACTCTGAGTTGTGGGGAATTACTTGAGAAGTTGGGCGACTGCTATCTTCTAATGATTGTGCTGCATGGAATTGTGGGAACTGCCCACATTCAAGCATATATGACAACACAAGTATCATTGCTTAGCAACAACTGTTTAATTGCCATTGTTAAGCAAGATACTTGTGTTGTCATATTTGCTTGAATGTGGGCAGTTCCCACAGTTCCATGCAGCACAATCATTAGAAGATAGCAGTCGCCCAACTTCTCAAGCAATTCCCCACAACTCAGAGTTTCAGATTCTGACACCAAACCCTGTAATAAGCCAGACAAATCCAATCCACATTCCATTTCTTCAGAGACCAATGTTAAGATTNATATGGAACAAGTCAAAATAATACCTACTGGTACAAGTAATTTTATCTTAAACTAATATAGCTTAATTCTACATTATTCTCTATTTACATTGAGGTATTCGTCTACAGAGTAGAAGGAATGAGCATGCAGATATTTCTTTAGCTCTGATTTAAAATGTATAGTATCATTACTCAAGTTTTTGATACTTTATGGGAGACTGTTGTACACTTTTATGCCAGAAAAGTAGACTCCTTTTTGATGTAGTGATAAGTTTGTTGAAGGTAGATGGAAGTTATATTTTTGTGTAGTATTCATGTTATGGATATTGGAATTTAATTCAAATTGTTGTACACAACAAATAAGAGAAGCGATAGTATATATTGTGATTGAAGAGGTAGAATTTTTAATTTCTTAAATAAATCTCTACATGAATCTCTACTTCTACGTCCTGTAATGATTCTAATTATATTCTTTTTTATCTTAAAACTTTTTACAATATGTGAAGCGTTCCCCCAGAATATTAATCCATAGTTCATAATAGAATGAAAGTAGGCATGGTAAACCATCTTCAGTGTTTCCTGTGGCATAAAGGGCTCAATCGATCTCATTGCATAGCAAGCGGCACTTAATTTAGGTACAGTTTGTTCTATATGTATTTTCCAAGACAGTGTACTGTCTACATGTATTCCAAGGAATTGTGTATCAGGTGCTTTACAGATTAATTTGTTGGCATAACTGATGACCAGATCAATTTGGTGGCTGTTTTTAGTTAAGAATGGTATGTAATGGGTTTTATCAAAATTTAGTGAGAGTTTATTGGCTTTGAACCATCTATTTAAAGCTTCAAATACAAAATTTATATCATTTTTAAAGTCTTCAATTTTAGAGTTCTTGAATATTATACTAGTGTCATCTGCAAAAAGAATTGGTTTAGATTTATTATTGATGGGTTTTGATAGATCATTTATGTAGAGAAGAAAAAGCAAGTGGCCCAAAACTGATCCATGTGGAACACGATGTTTTATGATTCCCCAGTTTGAAAATTCATTAGAACTGGAATTTTTACTTTTTATCTCCACTCTTTGGTACCTATTTTTGAGGTATGATTTGATCCATTCATTAGCTTTGCCAGTTATTCCATAGAAATTTAATTTTCATAGTAAGATAATATGATTTACACAATCAAAAGCTTTTGCTAAATCACAGAAAATCCCTCCCACTATTAATCTGTTATTGAGAGCATTTAAAATATCGTTGGTTAGTTCATAGGTTACTTTTTCTGTGGTTTTGTCTTTCCTAAATCCAAACTGTTCTTTGACTAATATGTTGTTAGAATTTAAGTGTTCCAAGTAATCTGTTATATATAACTTTTTCAAAGACTTTTGAGAATGAAGTCAGTATAGATATTGGTCTGTAGTTAGAAATGCATTTTCTCTCACATTTTTTAAAAAGTGGTTTCACTACAGCATATTTTAAGCGTTGTGGAAA